TTTTTTGAAGGACAACCTTTTTTGACTTAGCTGTATGATTGATGATGTGTGCATACAAACTTACCTAGCTACTTCTAAGTGATGTTTGCCTGTGGTTACATCACCGTTGTCCAAATGCATGAAACCCATCTCAGCACATGTATACGCTGCTATATAACTGCCTTCCGCAAATTCAGACTCGCTAAAGTAAATTAAATAAATTTTAGTATTACGGGCAAAAATTCGCTTTAACAAACAAGCTCTCAACTAATCAGAATGCAATGTTATTACAACTCTAGGATATTGAAGATACATCGGCTCAAAAACTCGCACACATTAGGCTTTTTCCAACAACGAACCAAAACCACCAAAATAACGAATAAGTTGTTCATGCCTGTCCAAATACTCGTTAACGAAACAATGTATAACAATAACATTTAGCAACTTCTCGGTCTACAATTTATTGGTGGTTTGCCATCAATCCCTTGAAATGTATAAGACTATGGCGGCCATGTTGGAGGAAAACACGCTCCAAATACAATATGTAAAGGTAATAGTATGGTTTTGAGTGCAACTTTGAAAAACATGCACGAGTGAGTTTTTCAAAGACTATCAAAACCATAAGAGAGAAACGAGAAACCATAACGAGAAACCATGATATTACTTATTAATAATATACTTGAAAAAAATATGCAGTCATGTCCATGCATACAGGTCACATGCGAAATAGATAATTTTAATATAAACAATTTTATTAGAAAATTTGTCATTCGTAATGTTTGGGTTTTTTGTATTATTTTCACTTTTTGCAACTGTATTTTATTTCTTGCACTGTATTTCACTTCTTTGCACTGTTTTCGAAAAACCTGCACTGCTCTTAGCCAATCAGAATGGAGAAATTTTTCATGCATATTATTAAGCTGTTCTTTTGTGAGAGTTCCTCCAACATAGCCGCCATGACGTGCAAACCAGGAATTCAATACAGTTGAAATTCCACAGGCTATGACCATGCACAACTTACTGTGTTAAAACTTGCTGAAAACATAACATGGCAAGTTCCTTTTGGTTTAAGCATCTCACACACATTCCCTCCAACAGTTTAAGAAGGCAGACGTCCTCGATTTTGTATACATATCCTGATCAAAGTAAAAGACGGGAAATTTCTCAGTTATACTGTATATACTGCACGTCTTGGAATGAACTGTAAAATTATTTACTAAATAGGTAAATCATGCAATTGATGAAACACATGTATATAACTCATTCATATAAACCTCTCTGTAATGGAAGTATTGAAAGACTTATTTTAACATTGTGTATAACAGACTCACTGAACTGCCCAATTGCCTTTTTTTTTTAAAGGGTTAAAGATAGGTTTGTGGTTGGGATCAATATCAAAGAGAAACATAGTGTGCATGAAACATGGAGATATAAACTTTATGTGTGCCTGTCATGCTAAATCAGGCAAACGTGGAAAAGAGGTTATTGCATGGGAAAAAATGCAATAATCTACAAGGACTCGTGCATGAGAGAATGTGAATAGCATATAAGCATTTTGTAATGACGTAATAATCTTACCATCACTTCTAGTGTTTGACTGTTTTCGCTGAGATTCGTGGACCAATTCTAGCAAACTCTTTACCAAATCGGGTCTTTTATAAAGAATTCGAAAGCCATTCCACAGCAATATCAGTTCCTTAATGAGGAGAATATATATTTAATGTACATCTCGTTGGGGACCTACAGGGGTCACTACTATCGTCTCGTTCGGACAACTATTGTCGCACAAGACATACGATTATTTCAAGCACCAGAATTGTGTGACAAATGTCTAATCCATTGGGGGTGGGTTCAGTGGTGAGGGTATGGAGAAGATTATCCCTCCCGAAACAGGATCGCCCATCTTTTCAACAAATAAATTTCGGACATTAAATATAGAATTACTTCTCATACTGCTTCGTAGGATTTATACAATTTAACGTTACTTCACGGTGGATTAAACCATGAACAAAAAATGTCCATGGAGTTTATATAAATCAGAAATATACAGGCTGTCCCAAAAATATATAAAATTAAAGAATTCATATTAATTACTTTCGATCAAGTTCATCATTTGAAAGTTGTATCTTAAAACTTCAATACTGTTCATGTGTCTTACAACAATAATTTTTCTGCTCTTATTCGTATGACTCTTTATCCAGGTTATCATCCACGAACCAGAAAATTAAGAAAATTTTCGGGGTTTTTTCCTAAGCTTCAGACTCATTTAAAATAAGTCTTATTTAAACAAAATCTTTAATGTTAGGGACCACAAACCCTGCGAGTTCTCTTTAAACATCCCCTTTTAAAAGCCTGAAATACTTTTGACCTAATTTCCATAATTCGGACAATTAGTAGAAATATTGGTGTCACCACCTTAAGTGAATCTTGAAGGCAAATTGTTGGTTATTTTGATAATTCAAATATCAATGGATTAAAATGATAGGATAAAAATCTGATACTTCTATTAAAGCTGCATGATGTTTCAATACAACAAAACATTTTGGGGGAACATGTAAAATAGTATAAATAATTTTATGATTTCCAAAAATACAGTAATACTTACCAAAGCGGGAAGCCAAAGGTATTGCTCTTTTTCAAAGTAATCCTTACATCTACTGACGGAAAATTTTTCAAAAGGAATGGATTTTCCAGCTAATCTTTGCTTGAGTTCTGGAGCTTTTCTGTGTAAGGAACGAATATAATACTTGAAAACCGAAAAACGTTTTTTCAAGTATAGTAGCTACGCGGTATATGTTTCACTACTTAATATATAATACAGTATATAACACCCACCCGCCTAAATTCTTCAAACACTCATTAATAATTCATAAGCTTATTGGCAAATGATGTCAAGTTGTCAACCATAATATGTCACGTGAAGAGGCTTTATACCTGATAAAACTCATCTTCAGTAGTATTCGTTATATAAAAGTCCACCCTAATTGGTATTCTTTATATAAATAATACTGTCGGAGACTGTCCATCATTATTATTATTATAGCACGTTATTAATTTTAGTTAGTTATATATAACGATTCCAATTTTAGGTTGATCAAACTTTTATATTGAAGTATACCTTACATAAATTTTATATAGTTAAATTTAGAATATTATACTAGGTCGGTCAAGGTGGCAAGTTGTACCAAGGGGTACCAGCACTTTGTGAACTTGTACCAAGGGGTAGCAGCACATTGGCAACTTGTACCAAGTTGTACCAACTTGTATAAAGTGCGGGTCAATGCGTGCCTGTTACGAAAGACAATACAAAATATCTGCATGCGCATGAAACATTTAGTGTTGAGACGAACTTCCTCGAGAGCGTGACTTTGTGATATTGCGAGCGAAGAGAATCTAAGTGAACCTTTAATTTGTTGAATTTTTGTTTATTTATATATATATATATATATATATATATATATATATATATATATATATATATATATATATATATATATATATATATATATATATATATATATATATATATATATATATATATATATATATATATATATATATATATATATACAAACTGTATATCGTCATTGCGAATTTATTTTGTGGTTTTAATTTGTACGTGAATTGTTGGGCGAAACAAGGGAGGCAATCCCCAAAATAGTGGCACCTCCAAGACGGGATTAAATCAAAATGGAAACAAAAATGGAAGAATTAACTGGGAAATTGAAAGCGCTAGACTTGGTGCTTGCCAAATCGAAAGACACTGTGACCGCGCGTAATAAAGACGCACTTAAACGAAGTGAACAGTCGATCGCGAGAAAAATCAGCGCACTTTACGTGTTGAAAGAGGAAATTGAGGAGTTAAAATTTATCAATAAGGACTCAGAGGAAAACGTACGTACTTGGGCTGACGAAGTTGAGTTAAAATTGACCGCCGCTGAATCGGCACTAAACGCAATTCGAGTCGTGTTGAGTGAAATAGAACAGGAGGAAATCAGTGTGCAACGTGAAAAGGACGAGGAAATACAACGTATCTCTGTCGACGCGGAGACCAAGAAACAGCTGTCAATTGAACATGCGAAGTTAGAGCTGGAACGAGCTCATAAAGAAGCAGAACGGAAGAGAGATTTGGAACACGGGGAGCTGCTACGGAAGCAAACGATGGAGTACCAAAAGACCGTGTAAGCGTCGATGGACACGAAATCCAAACAGGTACAAAACATAAAATTACCTAAATTAAAAATTACGAAATTTA